AGGTTGGGGGGGAGAGAATCTGCAAGCTGGACGTGTGGATGAAGTGGTAGAGCCTGGCCAAGCAAGCAAGTGAGCAAATGCAAGGCGCTGAATTCAAACCTCAATACCACCGAAAATAATATAAAGTAAAAAATAATGGAAAGAAAATTTTAAAAAATGGATCTGTAAAAAAGGTAGGTATCACTAGCTACTCAGGAGGCTAAGATCTAATGATCATGCATGGTTCAAAGGCAGCCCATGTAACAAGACCATGAAACTCTGATGTCCAATTAAGTACTAAAAGTGGGAGGGAACCCACTGGGAAACAGAGATGTGGCTCATATGGTACAGCACTGGCGTTGAGCAAAAACAGCTCAGGGACATCACCCAAGCCCTGAGTACAAGCTCCAGGACTGGCACACGTGTGGGCACATACACACACAGACACACTCACACATACACACACACAAAAGGTAGTGTGTGTGTGTGTGTGTGTGTGTGTGTGTGTGTGTGTGTGTGTGTGTGTGTGTGTATGTCTGTGTGTGTTGGGTGGGGAGGTTCCAGCACCAAATGGTGTAATTAAGTACTGGCTACCAAAACTGCGGCATGAAAATTTGACTCATGAGGGAAAGTTTTGCAGCAGAACACAGATGACTTGAAGAGCACTGCGTTCATATCTGCATTCCTCCTGTGAGAACTCGAGTAAGTGATTTTCCTTTTGCTGCCTGTTTCCATAATGGACTAGTGACTTCTCAAGCACCTCCCTCCCACTTTAACACTCACTCAGCAAAAATCCATTTTTCCAAGTGCTACACCATGTGCTATGTACTTAAAAAACACTCTATGTCAAGACGTCTTCACCTACTGAGGCCACGATGCACTTCTTGGCCACAGGAACTACAACAGGCTACATCCTTTCCCCATGCCATTGTGGTTGTTGGAGAAGCAAAAGTCTCATTCAAGTCTTTCTCTTTCTGACTATGATCCAAGTACAAGATGCAGAAGGTCAGGTATATGCAAAATACAAAAGACATGCACACAACTGGCTCATGTAGCTCAAACGTCATTAGGTGCAATTAACTGGTACAGGACATATTTCCAGTTAACCAAGTTCACCTCGAGGTATTTCTTTACATGGCTGGCTTTCCTACTTTGTTTGCAGCTTTCTGAGAAGCCAGCTGTCTGACCACATGAATTCAGAAACCCTAGAAGCATTGTGTCCTTTATAAATCAGATGTCTTGCCCAGTTCCAGAGATACACTGAGGATGAACTGGGTGGCAGTTCTGTGACTTACATTCTAGCAGATGACAGCTAAATGCTCTTTTAATCTTCAGTGGAGGAATCAAAGAGTTAAGAGGACTGTTCAAATAGTGGGTATGTTGCCCTCAGATAAACTTCTCTCAAATCCACAAGGAACCTAATTTTCTTTTGGACAAAAGTCCTGTCAAGACTTCCTTCCAGAGGCTCTCTGGTTACTTCTGCCAGGAAGATCAATGAGGAGGTACTGTGGGAAAGTTCTCAACAATTACCAGAGTGAAAGACTGAGCTTAGAACCAACTGTTCAACCCTTTATAACAATGCAGAGTGCTCCAGATAGCAGATTTCCCAGACAGCAGCCTGATGTGTTACATGCATGCTCAGGGATAGTGTGGAATGAGGACTGGAAGAAAGTCAGCCTCTTCCTTCAAGGCCAGCTGCCATTCAAACAAGGAAGTAACTGGGAAGGCCAAGCCCAGGGCTCTGACTCTGCAGAGAGAGTAGAACACAAAAGGGCTGTACAGAAATTTGGCAGGATCTTCCTGAAAGGCAGCAGCTGAATGCTGCATCCTATAGCACCTAGAAAAGCCTATCATTGCAAAAGAGCTCTTCTGCTGCACCCAGGAAGGAGAAATTTTCTGTAAAAGTAGAACAGCCAGTTGACAAGACTTGAAACACCAATCCCATTCACCACTTCCTCCTAGTCCTCTTTATGCTATTCCAAAGAAAAAGAAATTAAACAAAAATTAAAACTTCTCCATGAGCTATCCACACACTGCAGGTCAGAGTTCCAAGGAACATCCATCCAGCTGTTGCTCTCCACTCTTTCTGCCCCAAAGGCTGCTTTATTCAATCAATACCTTCTTGTACATGTGAGTAACTTTCTTTGAAAGCTCAGGCAAAACTGCCAGTTAACCTTGACCTTCTCTCTACACATCTAGGTCTATAGGAAATGAAAATCAGAACTTCTTTGGCACCTGCCTTAACTGAAATATGACAACTTTCTTTAGGCAAAGGCAGACTGTCAAGAGCTCTTTTAGACCTGGTCACAGCTATTCCATAGGAGACATGCACTTGGGCAGGACACACCCCCCCTTTGCCTGGGGCTTTGCCAATATAGAATCCCTGAACCTAGGGAGGCTGTCAAAGACAAAACCCCAGGAAAAAGCAGTAGCCCTATGTGCAGTCACTAATCACATCACAGAATGCTGGCAACCGAACCAAGAGATGGAGTTGGTGAATGATAAGCACATACAGCAAGTTAATGACAAAGCCAAACACAGCCCTGGCCTCTTCACCCTGATACTGGTACAGGATAGGAAATGAAGGAGATTTCAAGAAAGAAAAACATACAAGACACAGAATTTAAGGGGGAAACAGCTAGGCTGGCTATCAGGGTTTGAACTCAGGGTTTAGGAAAGGCCATTGTTAACTTTCCTCAGTTACTGAACAGTTAAGATGTACCATAAAGATCAAGCCAACTCCTCTTGGATGGTTTGCAACAATTAACTAGAGTAATTGTTAAGCTCCAATTGATCCACTTTGTGGTAAAGAACTGTCTGTGCTCAAGATACCAGAATGGCCAGGCAGCAGCCTGACACTGAGGAGAAAGGAAAACCCATCAACATCAAAAAGTCAGCCTCTTCCCGTGGGGAAGCCAACAGTCAATTCTGACCCTGATATGAACACTACCCACTTCCCATTGGACCACAAAAATCCCCTAAGCAAATCTTAAATGTCCCAATATACAAAGCAATTCAACAGAGCTACCTGTGAACAGCACAGGGCCTACAATTTGCAGCTGACCTTAAAGAATCGGGCCTTGCCGCAGCACCTGCAGAAGCAGACACAGTTGCTGGACAAAGTTGGAGGGCCAAGAAGGTCCATCAAAAGTTACACAACACTTTTGATGTACCTTAAAACCACCAGACAGAAGCAGGAGCAGATATGGGCCCCAGCTGAGCTTTCTGGCTTTCACTAGAGAAGGAGGAGTGAGCAAAAAGGAAAGGGGGTGATTCTACTTGTTGTGACTGTCCTAGAAGACAGACAAACCAAAGACTAGGTGGGATTTTTATCTTTATCCATTGATGAATTAAAGAAGGTGAAGCTTAGCCAGCAGCTGCATGAGCAACAGACCTAATATGGGTGCCTGGACAATAAGGTAGTCAAGAGCCAGAGAAAGCTGAAGCAGTAGGGTTTCTTCTCCAGGAGTTGAAACCATGGGAAAGGAAGCAGGACACAGGAAATGAAGGAGATTTCAAGAAAGAAAAACATACAAGACACAGAATTTAAGGGGGAAACAGCTAGGCTGGCTATCAGGGTTTGAACTCAGGGTTTAGGAAAGGCCATTGCTAACTTTCCTCAGTTACTGAACAGTTAAGATGTACCATAAAGATCAAGCCAAGAAGAAGTGCCCAAGAAGACCCTGAAATTCTGCTTCATCCCCAAGCTGCATGGAAAAAGTGGGCTACTAGAGGCAAGTGGATAAACTCAAACATGGATGCAGCCAGCTGTCAAAACCTATCAGCACCATTGAAGAGTCCCTAGAATTCTATAAAGAACAGATGGAAGTACTGGATGAGCTATATCAGAAGAAAGATGAGTGTGTCAACCAGCTCTTCCAGGAGGAGAAGGAGAAGAAGGAGCTGCTATTGCTTGTTACAGATGAAAGCACCTGAGTTTCAGGACAAGATCCTAGCAGCCATCCAGACCTCTGCGGATGAGGGCCCCTCAGACCTCTCAGGCTTCAAGAAGAGGGAAGTTATGAAGAAGCAACAAGATTTTGAAGATTTAAAGCTTGAAGACTATGTGGATCCTGCCCAAGGAGAGGCTGGGGAACCTTGGCATCTCAAGGACCCCGACTACAGAGCAGATCATGCTACAAAAGCTTGCTATTCAATCACCTACCTGAGCTTACATGCTTGGGCAATAATGGCTGCAGGACTGAGACAAATGACAACTTGGAGATCATTTTTGCATGAAGACCTGGAGGTCTTCCAGCTGGGGAACGGGGCTCTTGTCCTCTAACTTACTTTGCTGCAAGAGGATCAGGTGGCATATTCTCAGGCCTAATTATAATGAGTGAGACAGGGGAGGAGCCAAACATACCAGAGGCTTCTGGGAGCTGGCCCAAATTCTAGAGACATTTAACAGTCCATTCATTACCAGGAAAGGGGCTCAGGTGTAGGTTTCCACAAAGTGTAAATTCTTTACCAAGGAAGTTGGAGAGTGATGGCACGGTTTTATATTATTATATTATGATAATAATAGAAAATGTTTGATGTCACAGTTTAATAATAGTGTATTTTAATTTTATAACATTACATTTTTATGCAATATTTTGATATTACTGTATTGTATACATTATATCAATCATTTCATGATGTATGTTATATGTCACTAGAGTCACTTGGCTTTTTAAAAATGTAAGGATTGCTGAGCTGGGCAATAGTGAATTTTCTTTTTTGCATGTTAAAAAGTTACAATGGTGATAGGTAGATGAAAACATAATAGAAAACACGGAAAACAAGAAAACATTAATGCTGAAATCCTGGAACAAAGCAAAGATGTGAGATGAATAATTGGAAGTCTAACACAATTGGAGTACAGACACATGGATTACAGAAATGTAATCCAAAAATAAGAATATAGAATTATGAAATATCTGTAGATATGGCATATCTTAATAATTTTTCAGTGAAACCTACTGAAATGATACCTCTTGAATATTATTGTTGAACAAAAAAATAAAATTCAACCTAATATGTTACTTAACTTTGTACAGTGGATTAGATTCTGCAAGTGTAATGATATACCTTTGACTCAGGTAATAAATTGAAAATTCAGAAACAACTATTCAGTATTTAAATAAAAAAGTAATTACACAAATTGATCTAAATGCCGAATGTATCATCTGTCTTAGATTTTCTGTGTATTAACTTAAAATCACATTCTTTATGAAGGAGAAAAATAGCTGAACTGACATTAATATCTCTAAAATGTTCTTAATTAAAAAAATTCCTCAAAGAAAAAGATTAGTGTAAAAATCACCTTTGAGCATACTCTACAACTGAGGTGTGAAAAATTAAACAAAAATAATGAATTATATACAGCTCCATATTCATAGCTTTCTAAAGAATTACTTTAAAATGTCCTTCATTTTTGAAATCAGCTCAGAATTCTTGCATAAATTAAAATTGGGGAACTACATTACCAATAGAAAATTAATACAGTATTTTTTATGAGATTAGAAGTCTGATGAGAATAAAAAGATTGAAATGGCTCAAGTGGTGAAGCACCAGACAAGCAGGAGGCATGACAATTTACAAATAAAAAGACTTGGATGATCATCTAATAACTCCACAATGAAAGCTCAGCTAATTTTCAAAGCCACAACTTAAAAAGTCACCTACATTCTGGTGGAAAAGTAATTAATTCATAGTACAAAAATAAAAGATTCAAAAAGGTAAGAAAAAAAAAACGGTTTTCCAATCCTGTTCAAATTTAACTTTCACCTAGCCAAAATAAACACTTGTCACTCTCTAAGAAAATTGTAAGAGGCATTTCCATAAAAGAGGAAGTTAAAGGTGTGGTTTCCAGGATGGAAATTCCAACTCCAGATGATATGTAAATCAACTTCCCTAATTGAGAACTCAGGTACACACCCTTTTCTTGGCCCACCGCCCTGAATCAGAGGACCTATTCCTACTCTTTTTGTGAAAGGGAACTTTCTTTACACTTTATTTTTAACACCTCCCCATTGCTGACACATTATATAGAGAAGTCTCTTGGGGTTGTGGTGTTTCTTTACCTTGACAATGGCAGTGTGAGTTTTTGGAATGTGGTTAAGAGTTCCCTTCTCTGGAGATACGCCATTGGCTATTTCCAACTTCCTGTCAGACCCTTTTTCTCCAATGATAAACCACTATTAGTGAAGATTCTATACGTTGGGAAATCTATAGCAGAGAACCTTTCTCAAATGAAGCAAACCATTAATACTGTACTAATTTGAATTTTATGCACAGTAATCCCATTTTGTTATGAAATATGGAGGTAACATAATAAAACATAACATGTAAAAAATGAAGATAAGATAAAGTAGCAACAATGCAACAACAGAGCCAGAAATATTTAAAAATTGCCATAAAAATAAACTCATGCAAAAATGAGTCCCCAGTGACTGCTTTTCACCATGAAAGAAGGTGGATCTCAGAATAACAGCAAAAAACAAAACAAAACAAAACAAAAAAAGCATTTAATTCAGTGGGCATTGTTGTTTTCCCAGCAATCCTTGCTACTCAGCAGGCTGAGCTCTGAGGATGGCATTTCATAGCCATTTCATATAGGAAAGTACAAAAGACTCATCTTCAATTAACCACCAAAGTGGAGCTGTGGTCCAAGTCGTAGGAGAAAAAAAAAAGCAAAATACAACAACAACAAACCCTCACGAATAGTGTTCATGCCCTAAGTTCAAGCCCCAGTAATTTCGAGAACAAAAAAGCAGTACTGGTTTCAGTGACACAAAGTTCTAGAGCAGACTTTTGATTACTATATCCTGGGAAGAATAAAAACAGAAAAACCTCTATACTAGACCATTGGGATGTTAAACTTTCTATTAGATTGGATTCTTTAAGTTTCAGTACTAATTCCTAAAAATAAAATATAATATAATAAATTGGAATACTTAGAGAAATAGCTGGTAATAATGGAGAAGAAAGAAAATGCAGGGTTGAACACTAAAGATGAAAGAATGGCTTCAGAAAAAATAAGTCATAATTTTTGGGGTGAAAATGAGGAGAACATTAATTCAGGCTAAGAGATTAATAATAACAATGGCAAAGCTCAATTAAACCATTGGGCATACTGAGTGATTAACAATAGTCAACAATTGTAACAATACAACAGTTTACTGTCCAGTTGTGATGGTTCTTTGTTGGTGTCCGTTTTTCACTCTATGTACCCAATTATTGTGCATTCATCCCTCCTGTCATTATCATATGAAGATAAAACATAATGCTTAGTGGTGCACCCCTGTAATCCTAGCTACTCAGGAAACAGATCTGAGATCTCAGTTCAAATCTGTCCTGGGCAGGAAAGTCGTAGACACTCATCTCCAATAAACCACTAGAAAGCTGGAAGTGGTGCTGTGGCTTAAGTGGTAGAGGGCTCACCTTGAGCTGAAGAGCTGAGGTTTCCCTCAGACCCAGAGTTCCGCAGCACTAATGACAAAAATTTTTTTAAAAAGAAAAATTTAAAAAAATATTGAGAGTCAATGCCTGAGAGTCAAAGTTGCAAACATAGTGTTAGGCTACTATTTCTCTGCTGGCAATTCAGATAGGGGATTATGCTTTCAAAGCTAATGGATCAACAGCAAGAAAGGTACAAGATTGATTATAGTAACAAAACCACAAATGGGAAAGGTTATGACAGGGACACTACAGAATCTATAACCCTAAAGAGAATATTCTGATAGGATAAAATTTATAGCGAATTGAATATTAATAATGTGCTCTTGAAAGCCAATGTATATAGATATATGTATATATATGTATATTTATGTCTATGATAATTTTTTAGATCATTCTCAATAACGGCATTGAGTTATTAAATTATATATCAGAATACTACATCATTTTATAATAAAAAGGCATAAATGATATTTGAAATAAAGATAAGAGAAATAGAGTGGAAGAAGAGCTCAGGAACAGATCCTCTACCCTGAGTTCAAGTCCAGCACTGACAGACAAACAACAAGAACAACAACATCGCAAGGATGAGTCAGTATAGACAATAGACAAGAGGAAATGATCTCCGAGGGTAGGATCTTTGGTCACTCATAGTCAGGTGATCAACGACAATCAGGTGATTACTGGTATGATTCAGGCAGGTGATGGGAAAGCTGGGAGGGGCTGGTCTGTGGGCAGATTTAATCCTGATCACAACTCAAGCAAGAGATAGTTCTTGTCATCTCAGCTTTGTGCAAAGTGTGAATTGGAAGAACTCAGTCCAGAAGAGCCTAAGAATAAACACAAGTTTCTATTCCAAAAACAAAAGCAAACACAGAGAGGACAAGGCTTAAGTGGTAAAGTACCAGCCCAACATCAGGCCTGACAAATTACAAATAAAAAAATTATAGGATGATAACCTGTTAAGAAATATGAACTCAGCTACTTTTGAAGACCCATAAGATACAGTGGATAATGTCAGTAATATGGCCTACAGTCCTGTGGAAAAGTAATAAACACATAGTTCCATTATGAAACATACACAGAAGTAAAAAACAAAACAAAACAAAATAAATCAAACACAATAAACTTTTCCAATCCTGGACAAACCTACGTTGCACCTAACCCAAATAACCTAACCAAATTGTAAGAAGTAGGTCCTTGAAAGAGGAAGTGAAAGGTGTGGTGGACAGGATGTAAATTCCAACTCCTATTGAAATGTAAATCAGCTTCCCTAAGCAACCAATCAGAGACTTCCTTTCCTGGGCCCACCCTCTTTCAGTATAAATAGAGTGGAAGTCTGAGACTCAGGCATTGCTGAAGATCCTACATCAGCAGGCTGGAGGCCATTTGGAGCTTGGATACTCCAGGTGAGGATTAGAGTGAGAGAATCTACTCCTTTTTTAATTCTTCTCTCCTTGGTTTGGTGGTGGTATTGTTTTGTCGGTTGCGGGGATTGAACCCAGTGGTAGGGCAGTGTGCTGGGTCACTTTGTGCTCAAGACTGGGCATTGTCCCTGGGCCACTTTTTGGTCAAATCTAGTGCTTTACCACTTGAACCACAGCTCACTTGTAATTTTGTAGTGGTTAATTGGAGATAAGAATCTGTGTCGGGGGACTTTTGCGGCCGAGGCGGTTTCAAAGCTTGATCCTTAGCTCTCAACCTACTGAGTAGCTAGGCTTCTACGGGTGAGCCACCAGCACCTCATTAGATTCTAGGAATGATGGACCCTGACACTGCCCAGGCCTTCCAGAAGGAATTGAGATGTGCCATCTGTATAAATACTTTTATAGAGCCAGTCACCCTAGAGTGCGGATACAGTTTTTGTCGACCTTGTCTCTGCCTCAGCTGGGAAGAGACCCAGATTCCAGCCAGGTGCCCTGTGTGCAGGGGACCCTGCCAGCAGAGAGACCTCAAAACCAACGTGGTTCTCAGGAGCCTGGTGGCCATTGCCAGAAGAGCCAGCCTCAGGCATTTTCTGAGCTCTGAGGAATACATGTGTGGGACACACAGGGAGACAAAGCAGATGTTCTGTGAGGTAGACAGGGCCCTGCTCTGTAGGAGCTGCTCCCAGTCTCAGGAGCACAGGGCTCACAAACACCATCCCATAGATAGGGCTGCTGAGGAGCAGAGGGAGATGATTTCAAAGCAGATGCATGCTGTATGGGAAAAGACTCAAGAAAACCAGCACAATTTATAGGAGAAGAGGAGACTCATCAACCGATGGATTTGGTATGTGAAGCTATTCCAAGGCATGACTAAGGATGTTTTTAGAGTGCTGTTTTTAGAGCTGGGTGTCCAGGAGGAGGAAAGACACCATTCCCAGCTACTGATCAATGAAGGAAGAGCCATGTTACTGCAACTCAGAGAAAGGGAAACCCAAATGCTTCAGAAGAATCATCAGCTCAGGAATATGTATCAGGAGCTGATCAAAACATACCAGAAGCCAGATGTGGAACTGCTTCAGGATGTAGAGTTGATCCTAGAAAGCTGTGAGTCAGTCTTGTTCTTCCTGCCTCTTCCTCTGAGGCCAGAACTCAGTGCCCCTCCCATTCCTGGACTGATAGAGAGGCTCACCCAGCACCTAGTGGAGATTGCCTTCAATGACACTACGCGGAATCAAGATCTTGGGAGCTGTGTTGGACACGACAATCCCTATGCAGTTTTGAATTCTGAAGAGTCCTTCCACTTTACTTCTTTTGGACGCCAAGTCTTCAGCTCTGGGAAACATTACTGGGAGGTTAGTGTGGATGACTCTTCCACCTGGGCCCTGGGAGTTATTAGGGATTCCTCCATAGGGAGCAACCTCACTGAATCTGAGGATCTTTTCCTCCTTTTGTTTGTGAAAGAGAACACACTTTCCACCATTTTTACCACCTCCCCACTGCTGCATCACTATGTAGAGAAGCCTCTGGGCCGGGTTGGTGTGTTTCTTGATCTTGACGATGGCAGTGTGAGTTTTTGGAATGTGGCTAAGAGTTCCCTTATCTGGAGATACCCCACTGGTGCTGTCCAATTTCCTGTCAGGCCCCATTTTTTCAGTGGTAGCCTCGCGTCCTAACTGAAGAGACTCTCTATGTGTTGGGAACTCTATGGCAGAGAACCTTTCTCAAATGAGGCAAACCACTAATACTGTACTAATTTGAATTTCTCGGTACAGTAATCCCATTTTTTCATGAAATATGTTGATAATAATAAAATGTAAAATGTAGAAACCAATACTAAATGAAGATAAGATAAAGTAGCAACAATGTAACAAGAGAGCAAATAAATATTTAAAAATTGCTATAAAAATAAACCCATGCAAAACTGAGTCCCCAGTGACTGCTTTTCACCCTGAAAGGAGTTGGAGCTCAGAATAACAATAAAAAACAACACTTAAAGCAGTTGGCACTGTTGTTTTACCAGTAATCCTTGCTACTCAGCAGGCTAAGTTCTGAGGATAATGCATAGCCAGGACGAGAAAAATCCAAGCGACTCTTATCTCCAATTAACCACCAAAGTGGAGTTGTGGTCACGTGGCAGAAGAAAAAAAATCCCACAAGAACAGGGCTCATGCCCTAAGTTCAAGCCCCAGGAACAGCTAGAACAAAAAAGCAGTACTAGTTTCAGTGACATAAAGTTCTAGAGCAGCCTTTTTATTAATAGGTCCTGTTATCCATCCTGGGAGGAAAAAAAACAAACACCTCTCTCCTAGAGCATAGGGGTGTTTACACTTTCTATTAGATTGGATTCTTTAACTTTCAGTATCATTTCCTAAACAAGGGGAAAAAAAACGTATACTCAGAGAAAGAGTTGTTAATAATGGAGAAGACTGAAAATGCATGGTTGAACAATAAAGCTGAAGGCATGTCTTTAAATAGAAGAAGTAAGTCATCTTTTGGGGGTCTACAAATGAACAGAATACTATGGTAGGCTAAGAGATTCACAATAATAACTATGGCAAAGCTTAATTTATATATTAGGCATACTGAGAAGTTAACAAGAGCTACCAATTGTAACAATATAACAGGATGCTGTGCAGCTGTGATGGCTCTTTTTGGATACTTAATTGTAGTTCTTTCATCCCCTGTGAAATTATCATATGGAGTTAAAAAAATGCTTTCTTTTGGTGCTGGGAAGGTGACTCAGTGGTAGAGCATTCCCTTGCATGCATGAGGCCCTGGGTTTGATTCCTCAGCACCACATAAGCAGAAAAAAAGCCCTAAGTGGTGCTATGGCTCAAATGGTAGGTACTAGCCTTGAGCTGAAGAGCTGAGGAACAGCACCCAGAGTTCAGGCCCCACGACCGGACCCACCTCCAAAAAAAAAAGCTTACTTTTTTGTTTCCCTTTCATTCTAGATACTTAATTGTTGTGTGTTCATCCCTTCTGTAATTATCTTATTGATTATGAAAAAAACTATTACCTTGTGATTCAATGATATGTATGTAGCAATAGACTGCTACTTCCCTGTTGGCACTTCAGATATAGGAGAGTTTGCTTTCAAAGCTCATGGTTCAACAAACAAGAACAGAATACGTTCAAGATCCTGGAATGTGGAAGCTTATGTCATCAATTCTACAGAACTTACTACCCTAAAAATATCATCCTAGATAATTTTCTAATGTTTATAGTGAACAGAGTATTAACAGTGTGCTCTTACAAATCACACACACACACACACACACACACACACACACACACACATGAGCATTAGTAGGTTCTCTTATCAGTTTATTATATATATATTAATTTACCATTTCATTTTAATATAAGCTTAGTCATATATGGTGTTTATTAGCCTTTTGATCCAACATAAAGCTCAGGACAGTGCATAGATCCTTAGTTTAAGCCCCTGGACTATTTCAGAAAAAAATTTAAAATGGGTAAGTCACAATAGAAAATAGACTTGGAGGAAGTAATCTCAGATCCAAGGATCCTTTTCTGACACACAGTTAGGTGATGGACATTCAGGTGATTACTGGGTTCAGACTGGTGAAGGAGATGGGCATAGGGGGTAGGTTCCCTGTAGACTTAACAATGATCACATCTCATCCAATAGCTAGTCAAGTTGACATCTGTCTGTCATCTCAGCTATGTACAAAGCTTTGATAGGAAGATCTAAATCCAGGAAAGCCTAAGCATAAACACAAGATCATATTCCAAAAATAAGCTAAAAAATGGTATGTTTTATACAGTTCTGGTACTGTACTGTTGAATTCATACCATTTGCTTAAACTCTGCAAACCAGTTTATTTAACACTAAATTAATCTATAACAATTCAATGATGTTGGTCCAGTTTTTCAATTTAGAAAACCATAGGCAGGTGTTAATAAACATAAGGTGGTGCTGAGTTTATTAAAAGAATGTTTGTGTGGTCATGTTTCACTGTATAAATGTGACTATAGAGAATTCAGTGCAGTCTTGGTTTATCTTCCCACACGTGATTTTTAGGGTGACTTCACCTTCCTATTATAAGATTAAAAGTAGTATTTGTGACTTTGACCACTTTTGGTAGTTTTTGACTGTTGTACTGTGCATTGTTGCTTTTATTTTTCTCTCATTTCCAGAAAAAAAAAGATAAATCACTTGCTGTAATCATGTTGTAATACCCTGGCTTATACATTTAAATTTCTATTGTTTATTTCTGTGAAATCTATGTTACATTCAGACAGCATTCTGACATTTTATCTAATCATACAAACATATACTATTCCATCTTTCTTTGCATTATCTTTCTTTGCATCTATCTTTGCATTAGTAATTAGTAATATCCTAGATACTGTGTTGCTCATTTCAGAACTTCATGATTATTTTTACTACTGGCATAATTAATGCCATTGACAAAAGAACTCAATAAATTAGATGTAGTCAAAATTTTCTACCTTATATATCTATAAGCACCAACAAAACTACTTTATTCTTGTTTGTGTTTTAAATTTCTGGCCTATATTGTTATAGATCTATAGTTTATTTTTATTGTATTTTATTTATCTATTCATTATTTATTTTTGTTTAATTAACTATTTTTTGCTAGTTTTTAAAATATTTCATTTGAATAGTTGAAGAAAGGAGCTGCCATTCATTAAAGTAGTTTGTGAATACAATGCACCTTGATCACTTTAATCCCTTTTTAACATTTCCATTCATCTCTCCCAAACACTTATTCTCTGATTTTTCTTAATTTTGTGGCATATGCATTGATTTTTTTTTTACTTGCTCCTGCTTTCTACCACTTTGCTATATTATATGTCTACTTTCATGGTAGAACACTTTTACTAGTTAAAGATGATCTAGTATCCCTTTGAAAAATCATTGTATGTGTAATTGAAAAATGTTATATTTGTTAAATTAATTCTATAAAATTTAGGGATTCTTTGAATTCTGAAAGTATATTCAATCTTCATCACCTTGGAATATTCTCAAATATTCATCATTCACAAAGAAATCTCATACCTGTCTGCAGCTATTCTGAATTCTCTTTAGACTTCCAACCCCAAAGAAACTAATGTTATGCCTGATTTTGATAATTCAAAATTTCATTAAAATCAAATCATTTTATGTGTTATTTTGTGTCTGGCTCTTTCCATCTAGCCTGTTGTCAGTGTTTCCACTAATATCAATTCTCCAATTCTCTTTTTTACTTGATAATGGGCTATTTCATGAGTATAAAATGTTTTGTGATCTGTTTTCCTATTGGTCAGCGTGAATTTTTTTTTCAGTTCTTTCACTGTCATGGATAATATTGCTGTTTTGTACTTAAGTGTATAAAAATTATAGACAAAGTTTCTATGTTGTACAAAGTTTCTAGCCTGTTTGGTATTTCTGTAACTAACTTTGTGAGGAACTTTTACACTAATTTCCAAGATGAATGTGCTATTTTACAATGTGTGAGAGCTTCAATTTCTTTACATCCTTGTCAAACCTTCTAATGCACATCTTTTACCCATTTAGGTGAGCATGAAATGACATCTCATTTCTATTTTATAAGTGATTTTACAGGTGCTAATGCTTTTGTCTGTTTACACATTGTTCGATTAAGAAATTTCATGTCAAATTCTTGGTCCATTAATTGAGTTACTGATCCATTTTTTTCCTTTTTCTCCAATTCTTTTGTTTTGGAATAGAAAGTTTACACCATGTTATTATATATTGAAGATATGGTGCTCCTCATCCTCTCTGTCAACCAACCTCTTACTCTTCTTCCTTTCTCTTCTT